GCTAGCTTTAAGTTAGATCCTTTTATGTGGCCGCCTATAATAGTAATTTCATACATTACATAACATCATCTTCTAACTATAAATGTAATGTATGTAAACTAGTATTATAACTATGGTATAATGAAAGAATAAGTTAGAGAAAATCCCCCTTTGATTATTGTGAAAGGTTGGAGATGCAAGGACATTTATGTTGCTGATTTGGATCATATCATAAAGTCTTCTCCTTGGAGAGAGTAATATAATTTCAAAGATGACTACTCATGAAAAGGTAAGAGCAACATTTTGATGTTTTAAGAAAGGTTAATGTCAAGGTTGTGTGTTTCAATGTTGGTCACTAATAATTTCAAGTGAAAAATAAGGGATTAAGCTTTCTATCTAGGGACGAGAAACGAAAGGTTTAATCTCGTTACTTGTCAAAGGATTATAACCTTGATCCTTAAAAGAGTATTTCATTACTTGAATTTCACTGGTCCTTCAAGTTTTAAAATGTTTCATTATTCATAGCCTTAGAAGGTAGCATTTATTCATCGAGTATTAACATCAAACCATTTTTAAAACTTAAAGAAAAGGAATGAAAACATGTTCAAAAAGATGAAATAATTTTTCATACCAAAATAAGAAAGCTCTGTAGTGGGTGATTTGGTGGCCATCTTTTTGACTTTTCACTTCATTGATTAAACGGCTGATCAAATTCTAGTCCTCGCGCTTTTATTCCCCACAATTTTGATGGTGCACCTTGAGCTTCCCATTAAGTGATCATCATTTTCAGAACAAGGATGATATGACCTTGTGTGATTAGAATCATGTCATGAATTCTTCCATGAATCCACCTGTATTTTTATGATAATGCAAATGCAAAAGGTGTTATTGATGATGCAAATGCAAAAAGTGTTATTGATGATGCCAAATAATAGAAAACAAAATAAAGAAACACAAAGAAAAAAGTATAAGGTAAATTAAAACTACAACGATTCATATCCCACATGTTATCTACCCCACATGCTTTTATTCCTACCCGAACATGATTTCTACCCACATGCTTTTGGAAGAACAATAAACTTTAACCACATACATCTCTAGTTCACATGTTTTGTGCAATAAGTAAAGAGGTAAGGTAAGAAAATTGAGCATCTTATGGTTTCAACATGACTTTGGGTTGTGTTCTAATTTCACTGTAACACGACTTGGTTCTAAAAACGTTATTGGGTTCTCCTTATTTGTGCCCCTTAGGCTTTACCAAATCCTCGATCCTAAACCCATCATAAGTTTGTATGGACCACATTAAACTCGAGAGGATATGTTCCCTATGCATGTACGAAGAATAAATCATCATGAAGACATAAGGTATATGAACCCTGAAAGCTATTTCTAAGGCTTTGCAGAGAATAAATTCTCACGAGGACATCGCTTTCACCCCCACTTAAATAGGGATGGAGCTCGGGTATAGAGCTTAAGAGATGCAATGTCCCTTTTAAAAATCTAAAAATCATGAAAGCACACATCAATACAACTATTTACAAAAATAAAAATAATCACAAATGTAAATTTAAAAGTATCTAAAAATTGAATAAAGGCTTGATCTCTTCGTGTCCCAGTGGAGTCAACAAGTCGTCGCAACGGTCCTTCAGGTGGCCTGATATCGCGTCTCGACTTAAAGTGAATAATTTTACTTTTTGGAGTTGCCATCAGCCTATTTGGATTAGGTAAGGTTGGATACCTAAATTTTACCTTTTTCAAATCTACGTCTTACCAAAGATTACTTGTAAGGGTTCGAGAGTCGAATACATCTACATCTCCCTTTTGGTATCAACAAGGTTATGAGTTGTCTTAATAAAGAATTAAACTTAAAACCGAAATTTAAAGAAAATATCCAAATTATTTATCTTTAAGTTTCGTTATTGTACAATAAATAAATTAGGGTTATGGTAAAAAAAGCAAAAAATGAAATTAAGTCTAATATGCAAAATAAAATTAAAAAGAAGAATATGATTATGGGTACCAATATCAAAGAAACATACATAAAAATTAAATGGAATTAATGAATGTACAAAAAAGCATACTCAATAAATAGAAAATGAATGAAAATGAACATAAATATAAAGATTTGAAATGTAACAAAAAAGATTTTTTAAAATATTGATAAAAAGAAAGAAAATCTAAGAATCAAAAGAAAATTATAAATAAATAAATAAATTTAAAAGGAAAACATGTTTCAAGCAAATTAAGAATGAAAAAAGGTATAAAAAAATTTGAAAGTATACGCAATAATCAAACAGTATATAAGTAAAGAAAAGGATTCAAATTTAAGGAAATAAACATGTAAAAATGGGAAAAATCTAATTAAATTAAAAACAAACAAAAAAAGGAAATATTGGTTAAAATGAACTAACATGAGATTGAAATGTTAATTTAAAATAAACTAAAATGAAATTTTGAACGAACGAACTAAAATGAATTATCTCCTATCCGTGTGAAAAGTACATGAACCTCATAAAGATCTAAATTGGGTCATCGATTCATTTAAATAATAAAAAGAAAATAAAATCGTCTATAAAAAAATTAAAATAGAAATTAAGCAAGTTAGTAAAAATGAAGGGAAAAAAGTTAAAATAACATAATCCTCCAACGAATTTCATTGGAGAGCCTCGAGGTGAGCTAGATCTAAACAAGATCTTCGCCTCTTGTTCATTGGCCTCCCCTCCCGATGGGTTTTTGAAAAAGAAAGAAAAAAAAAGTCGAGATTGACCAAAATAACAAAACACAAACAAAATGAAAAATGAAAATAACAAAGAAATAACTTAAAAATCTCTTTATTCCTCTTAATCCTCGGATTACAATGCCTATAATCACTATTTTTCTCCTTCCTCTTCTTTCTCTCTCTTTCGCTTTTTCTCTGTCCCTATTTTTCTCCTCCTCCTCTTCTCTCTCTCTTTGTTTTTCTCTGTCCCCTAAAGGGATGGAGGAAGTCTCTATTTATAATTGAGTCACCAAACATCCAATGGTCTAGATATTTAAATTGATGGTTAAGATGTTCCTAAATAATACAAAATATTTTATCTAAAGAAATAACATCTAATATTATCTAATCACATCAATTAGCATATTCTTTTCCATTCACAGGATATCACAATGAATATTAAAAGATTTCTCTAGGATATTCTTTGATATGATAACACTTTTCTTTTCACCATGGTTAGTGTGAATGGCTCTCTTGCATTCATATAAGTTTGGAGTTCAGACAAAAATTGGGTAAATTGGGTATTACAGTCATAATTACCTATGCCTGACACCATCAACCAATATCATTATAAATACCCTTTGGCTAAAACTAATGAGGTGGTAGTACCTTGAGTAATCTATAGACAACATCCCTTCTCTTTCTTATGACCAATTATCTCTCACAAAAATATATCGACCAACGGTTGTTATCTCATCGACTGCGACTCACCGTTCGAATCAAAATGATAAATTACCAACGATCGCCAAAATAAACATGTTTCCATCAACAATATTGAATATAGACTATAAAAAAAAAGATAACAACAAAATATTACATTTACTAGGTAACTATAAAGTGAAGTTAATTTTCTTTAAAATTTGAAAACTAAGGATTTATCAAATTAACACGTTTTACGATTTTACCTATCTTCTACTCACTCCTAGTTCACTTAGTTTAATATTAAATTATAAAACCTTTACTTTTATTCAAATATTAACAAATTAAGACATTATTGTTATCTTTTGAGATTTCGAATTCGAGCATCGCATATGTATGGGTATGGACATTCATTATTTAATAGTTGAGAGTCTTTGAACAAATATTACTTTGTATTCACCCAAAATTATCAAAAAAGAAAAGATTTAAAATTTAAAGGATAGAATGATTTACATTTTGAATGATTTAATCTGTTAATAAAATTAAAAGATAAAATGAATTAAATCACTAAAATATATTTAAATAACTATTTTTGTCAACTTTTAAAAATTATAAATCAATTATCAAATATATTGAATTATTATAAAATAATCATTGTAATATTATGAAAATTTAATAAATTTAATAGCTATTTTAAACTAATTTAATAAAAGAATAATTCAATATAATTTAATAATTATTTAATAAATTAATTTAATAACTTAAACAATATTTTGAATGTGATAATGTAAACAATAATCCCATATAATTGTCGTTGTTTCTTTTATGAGAGCAAATGTGTTGTGAATACTTTAGATGGTTCACTTTTTCTAATTCAGATGAAATTTTGTAATTAATAACTATACGACGATTAGTCGAGATCAAAAACCTTTGTTTTCATGAGAAAAAAGAGAACGAATAATATTCGCAGAAGTCAAAATTTTTATAATGTCATTCACTATAGATGTTAAGTACAGGGTTATTATGAATATTTATAAGTAAACAGAATGATTACTGTGATTAATTATCAATCAATTTTGACTATGACAAGTCATAAAATATCTATCAAAAGTCATATCAAGGATTATTAATGTATGTAACGAAGATGAATTTTGCAAAAGAGGTTCAGAAGAGACGCAACACTTATATTTCACAATTTTAATTAGTTTCATGAATCAATTCACAAAGTATTCTCTATGATTCAGAACAGTGGTAAAATGAGAATTCTGTCCATAACAGATTTGTGCTAAAATTACACCGTACATTAAACAATGGATACCAACCTTGTAAATATTTATCCTTCTTTAATTATTATACAATTCTGCCTGATGCTCAAAATTACTCCTCTCAGTTATGAATCCACCATGCTCTTCATCACGATTCATGAGTGCAAGCCATCTAAAATCAAATGGATCTTCAATTGTTTCAAGGTAATGGCAACCAATAATGAGAAATCTCCAAATCTTAGGTGCCATGTTGCTCACTCGAGCAAGAAAGTCACTAGATATGCTTTTAACATTCATTCTTTCCGCTTGGCTAAAGAATTCGGCACCAGACAATCAATTTATACTTCACAATTGTCCAGCAATGAGCACTTGGAGCATATATACTTCACAATTGTCGAGAGTTCTGAGACGGGCAACCCCAACGAGTTCCATACACAGTTTCTAGCAAGGGTTAATAAAGACTCCCCTGCTTGCTTCCAGAAATTTGCAGCAGACAATCAAAGAAGATTCCAAAGAAAACAAATGGTGAGTTGCACCTGCCAACAACAGAGTAAGCTGCACTGATCCTACTCATGTCAAAAGCTTTGAATTGAGATTCATCTGTTCTTGAATGTAGGGCTAAGTCGTCAGATGAACGTATTCTATATGCAGAAGTGAGTGTCGTATAAGCACTGAGAGCAATATGGTGAAAGGGATGAAACTTGACATTGAGATGTGATTTTCCATCCCCGTGTTCTAATTGCTCAATCTAAAGATCTAGGCTCAGCACACTCTCAAGCTTCATACAGAAGGACTCAAGATCACCAACTGATAGAAACCCGGTAACAGTTTCATCGACGTAATCAGAAAACTTTTTATTTGCTTCATCCCTATAAAGATCGAAATCAAAATGCAAGCTTGAAGAGAACAGATTGGAAGCCAATTCCTGCAAGTGCTGATGATTCTTTAAAATTATTGTTTATAGAATTCATGAGTTGAACAAATAATGATGCTACTAAAATTTCAAGAAAAAATAAAAGGAATGTAAACCCAAATTTAAAACACAGCTAAAATCGGTTCACAGTGCAAGAGGCAAGAGCATAAAGAAAAGGGAGATAAATGTCAAATAATCTTTTGCCACAAATATTAAATTTTTAATTAGAAGATCAAAACCATCAATCAATACTATTAAGGGACAGGTTAGTAGATATATCTTTCAGACAGATTCTAGCTAATGGGAGTATTAATCATCAAGTCCTATGAAGGGATGATTGTGTACATCTCCCTAACCAAAAATGTGAATCCAGCCCTAGTGTGTAGAAAGCTAAAGGGAGTATCAAGTCCATTAAGGGGAAATCATGTATGACAACTGAAAATATATTTGAGATTGCAACAAATAAGTTCTTGAATCTTGATCCATTGCAAGCCTCTGAGCTGAAATAAATGACATTGATGTGTTCAAGTAGAAAAGAGGGAGGAGGGGAAACACACACTGGTTAAATCAAGATAATTATGCAGTTTATCATTACCTCTAATGCATGATCAACATAAGAGGGAGACATGGTGCATCGCCTACAAGAACAAGTAAACTGATATTTAAACCATAAATCTGATTGCCTCATTGCCTCCAGAGAAGAAATGAAACAATAAAATCAAAACAAGAATACAGACCAACATATGGTATAATGATTTCTTTTCATCTTTTGCAATGAGATTATGATAATGTTTTTCTAGAACAGATATAAAACGTCTAATTCATCTTATTTTATGTAACAGGCATTATGTTTACCTTAATTCATTCACTCCATTAATTGCCTTCTTTGAACGACCTAAGATTTTAGAAGATATTTTCTTTGATATAATACGAAGTTCAAATTTTTTATGTGAAGCTCTCGGAAGGAATGGAGTTGTGCAAAATTTCCCAATAAACACAAAATGATAAATCCCATAGTTCGGAACCGAAGATTAAAGATAATGGTTTATAAATACTCAATAAATGAATACTCTATCCAAATCTACAACAAATTTTGATGAAGTGCACATCCAAGACAATCATAAATAGCCTTCAAATAATCATTTTGAAATTGCAATTGCTAAAGCTATGCATTCTTCCAACATGATAGTGACACAGTTCAATCAAATTACGAAATAGGTGTAGCCACATTGCAGACGTTCATTTTGTCAAAAATGAAGACTTGAGAATTAAATCAAAGTGTAGATTGCTACATTAAAAAATAAGTAAACACCCTCGGTTGAAGCAAATCAGTGTATGAAACACAAACTTCCTCCCCTTTCTTGATTCTCTTAATACTCCCCACTATTATTTTCGGACCATATTCGTATCCCTTGGTTCCTGCATCAAATCAAAAAACTACATCAATATATATATATATATACACACACATCAAAAAAAGGACCAACCTTTCATGTAATCAGAACAGATACAAACACAAGAGTCATCATCTGAAACGCTAGGAACAATCCGTAGCGAGGAGCTTGAGTCCTCCCCAAACGAGGTAGCATTGGGACGGGAAACAGAGAACCGAAAACATGAGTTAGGCGAACAGCTATGATTGATCCATGAAAAGTTAGGATCGTATACGGCGATTCCTAGACAACGGCCGGCCTCGTCCTGAACTTCCACGGCTTTGATAAGGACTAAGCTTAAGACGGCCTCTTCCAGTAAAACGCCGTCGCTTTGGTCTAGAACACTGTCTCCGTTTCGTAATTTCCAAGAGGTGGCGATAGCAATTGCTCCCTGGCAGATTTGGGTGGCGAACTCAGGAGATGAGGAAAGCAGATGGTAGTTAGTGAGGAGGCCGTTGTTGAAGCGGTGGAGGTGGGGCCAGAGGGAGGGGAGGGAAAGGAGTAGGCGGAGAGCGGTGCGGAGAGCGGATGAGAGGGGTGAGGAAGGAGGGAGGAGCGATTCTGCGGAGGAGGAAGGGATGGGGGAATGGGAGGAGGAGCAGGCGGCGGAGCAGTAAAGAGGGACGCGGGAGGGAAGAGAGGGGGGAGAAGCAAGAGGAACAATGGGAAGAGGAAAGAATCGTGAAGGGAAAGGAGAGGGGAAGGAGAGGTGGGGTTATGTCCTCCTATTTCTATTTCTCTGCTCTCATCTCCATCTCGATGTTTGTTTTCACACACCACATGGAAGTGGAAGTGTTATGCAAATCAAATGAAAATAAGAATGTTTATAAGACGATAGGAGAATTGATAGAATACAAGTGTAGATATTTCCAAAAATATCTCTCTTTTACACCCTTTTGCTTATTTATATCCATGATCATTTATGGAATTAACCAACTACAAAATGGTTTAATATAAAAAATAATATAAATTATATCATTTTTTTCATTTAGGTGCTTAAACCATTTTTTATCAATCCAGATGTCTAACATTACAAACGTTATCATTTTAAGTACCTCGACCGTAATGAACGTTAAAAGGTCCATTAAGTGATACGTGTCGCATTCAGATAAATTTAGAAATTTAATTTTTTAAAAAATAAAACTTAAAGATATTATTATATTAAAAAAACCCTAGTTTCTTTAAAATTACAAAAAGAAATTTAAATACCTAAAAATCTATAAAATCAACCCTAATCTAACCAACTCCTTTACAGATCACAACTGTCATCATTATTGCCGCACTCATTAACCGATCATAGCCTTTGTTGTCACCCTAAACCCCTTGAATATATAACTCTTAAATTTATAGCCCTAAAATGAATGGTTAGTAGAGATCTAGAGGGTGGGTTTCTCCTTAGATTTTGGATTTTATAGGGGAGGGAATGTGATTCTGTAGGGGATTTGAAACATTTTGAGTTTCATAGGGGGAAGGGTGATTTTTCCCCGGAGGTTTAAACATGGTTACAAGCTGGAAAGGAATCTGAAGATGTTCATTGAACTGCAAGGGTGGGAGGGGAGTTCCAACCGGACAAGGATATTGATTTTTTTTTCAAAATTACTTGGTTGGTGTTAACACACCTTTTCGTCCTACTAGGATTCAAACTCTTAAAAATATGATAGAATTTTAGGATTCAAACTCCTAAAAATAGGATAGAGTTCTATTATGATTCAAACTCCCAAAGATATGATCCACAAGCATTATAAATAGCCATTGTAACTCACTATTATAACACAAGAGATATACGAAATACCAAGCAAAAAATTACAAGCAACTCGTAGCCATTTTTCGAAGCATTTATATTTTGAAAGGTAAAGTTCATACTTTCGCATGTTATTTTTCCTTACCCTTGTTGTGTTTTGATTCGAAAGAAAACCGAGAGAAGTGTTTTTGGCCAATGAACGGGGGCGTTTTTGAGATCTATTTTGGTAGATCTAGCCCCCGAGGCTTGTGTTTTTTTGAAAAACTATTCGGATTTTTATAAACGGGTCGTGTGGATTCGTGTGTTTTGCCTCTACAGTGGGTTAATGCCCATTTCGGTCCCCCTGATTTTAAATACACGCAGATTCGTTTTTTTCAATTGGCTTTTAATTTCGACCCCTAATTCATTTTTTGTTTTAATTTAACCCTTATTATATATATATATTTAATTATATTTTATTATTTATTTAGTTATCTTTTTTTTCATTTTTGCGTTATATTATATTATTTTATATATATATATATATATATATATATATATATATATATATATATATATATATATATATTTATCTATTATTACTATTTATTTTTTTTATATTTTCCTAACGTTATATATATATTCTTACTTCATTTATTTTATTTCTATGATTACTTTTTATTTAATATTATATGTATATTTATTTTCATTTATTATTATTATTACTATTTAGTATTTATTATATTATACATACATACATATATATATATATATTATTTATTTATACTATTTATTTTCATTATATTTTTAGTTTCTTTGCTCTTATTATTTTTTCCTTTTTAAAAAAAACACTTTACCTTTTTTTATTCTTTTTGTATATATATTTTATCTTCATTTATTTTATTTTATTCAATTTCATTTTTTTTGTTTCATCCAATTATTTTATGTTTATTATTATTGGTTTCATTTATTTTCTTGGTTTACTCTTTAGTTTTGTTACTTTCTTTTATTATTATTATTTTCTTTTAACATCTTATTTTTTAAGGGTATTTCCGTAAACTCATTAAGGGTAAGTAATTCAGATCAAATTTTACATTTTAATTTAACTTGCAATTTTCTTAATCAAAGACAACTGGAAATTACGTAGTACCGAAAGGACGGTTCAAGGGTGCTAATCCTTCCTTGACCGTAACCGACTCCCGAACCCGACACATCTTTGGAAAGACGCAGATCAGGTAAGAAATAGGGTATCCGATCAACCCATTTGTTTTAAATAAATGATCGGTGGCGACTCCAATCCACATTTTTCAAGTCGAAGCCCAATTCCGGGGCCCAACCGAAAGACGGTTGCGACAGCTTGGCGACTCCGCTGGGGACAAGTAAGTGAGTCATGCCGAAATTAATTTCTGGTTGTCTTTTTTAGCGAAAATTACAAGTTTAAATTTTAATTTATTTATTCGATTCTAATTATTTATCTTTGATTATTTTTCAAATAAATAGTTGTACTGACGTTTTTAATGATTTCAGATTTTCAACTTTTTTTGTCTAAGGCTCTATACCCGAGCTTCGAACCCTATTTAAGTGGGGGTAAAAGCGACGCCTTCGTGTGAATTTATTCATCGTGCGGGCCTAGCAAGTAGCCTTCGGGATTCATATATCTTATGTCTTCATGTGAATTTATTCACCGTGCGGGCATAAGAGAATGTGTCCTCTAGAGTTTAACTTAGTCCACACAAGCCTGTGATGGGTTTAGGATTAAGGGTCTGGTAAGCCCAAGGGGGCACCGACAAGGAGAACTCGGGTACCATTTTTTAGAACCTAAACCGTGAGGCTATGGAGAATTAGAGCCCACCCCAAAACCTCATTCCAAACCCTAGGCTATTTGTTTTATGCTTTACTTTATGTTCAAAGCATGCGAACTAGACAAATATGCGGCTAGGATTGTGTGGAATTAGCATGCGGGATAGAGATCATGTCCGGGTAGGAATTAAAGCATGTGGGGTAGGATTTTTCATTTTATTATTTTGATTTACCTTACTAACTCTTTTCATTTCTTCTCTTTTATTTTATTTACATCATATGCATTATTTAAAAGAGGTGTTGATCCACCAAAAATGTGTTTATTAAACATGAATAATCTGCATTAATGGAAAAAAGGGTTGTAATACAAGAGATGAAAATACAGAGGACAGTCTATAGGGCGACTATATGTCACATTCAATCCAGAAGACGTGGTACCCGCAATCGAAGAATATATCACTTTGCTAATTGTAAAGGACTCCGAATGGACACTTTGCTAATTGTAAAGGACTCCGATGGACCAGAATTTACACCGAGCACACTAAAGTCAAATTTTTGAGAGGCAAAGGTTGTAGGGGCAAGACGAGGAAAAAGTACTGACCCAGAGATTCCTTTCAAAAAAGACGAGGAAAAAGTTACTGACCCAGAGATTCCTTTCAAAAACACGAGAACAAGATGAATTCCATAACAAGTCGATAAGCTTCGGATGAGGGCTTCAATGACACTTTCGTTAGAAACAAGCTCGAAAGAGAGTGAAAGTCGGAGATGCAGTCATTCGATACATTTTTTTGGGGCAACAGCTTGTCACTTGCACATTTTGGCCAAGGAGCCTGAACGGTTCGACAGGGTATTCAACCGATGACAGACGAAGGCAGAAGACTAGTCAACATGTCAAAAGCTGTCAGGATATTTTTGTCTCTTAAAAGATAAACACTTTTGTCCCCAATAGGATTATTCATAATAACAGACATGTTTTCGGATTAATGCCTCGAACACCTCATGCATTTTTTGCATTTTGCATCTACATTTCATTTTTAAGCATTTTCATAAACATAAATTTCTTCATGGAGGATTCGATGAAGTGGTTTTAACCACATGACACTACGTGGAAGCAAGATTTTAACAATTAAAAGAAAATTTGAAATCAATACAATATGAGCTTGATCAGCTGGTTGTATACTAAGCCTGCCAGGATGATCTAAGAAAAGAGTCCACATATCTTAAGGCTACGATGTTGAAGCTGTTTGTAGTTGCCACATAGGATGCTCCAAACATTCCTCTGAGAACTATAAGGCGCTGAGCGCAAGATCCAAAACCTGATGGATTCAGGGGCATAAACAGCCGAGGAAGGGGGCTAAAATGTAGTCTGCTAAACAAGAATGTAGTCTGCTAAATGTTTTGTCACCACAGAGAGTGTTAGGATGGACGATGACAGATCTGAAGGGAACAATTTACATGCACAAAATCCTATTGAAGAATGCCATGACAAATCCATAGAACCGTTAGCGAAGATTAAACCCAATGATGGAGCAAGTTGTGATGAAAGAAATCTTAAGTGGCACGCTGGTAATTTACCCTATCTCTGATAGTTCTTGGGTGTGTCTCGTTCAAGCGTGCCAAAGAAGGGAGCACGACCATGGTGACAAGTGAAGACAATGAATTGCTACCAACATGCACTGTCACCGGGTGGCGAATCTACAGGGGCTACCGCAAACTCAACAAGGCCACAAAGAAGGATCACTTCCCTTTGCCGTTCATCGATCAAATGTTAGATCGACTTGTTGGCAAGGCATATTACTGTTTTCTTGGAGATACTCGGGGTATATCAAATTGTAATTGCACCAGAGGACCAAGAGAAGACAACGTTCACATGTCCCTATGGCACTCTGTAATGCCCCAATAACTTTTCAGCGCTGCATGCAAGCCATATTTCTGACATGTTGAGGATTTTCTAGAAATTTTTATGGATGATTTCTCTGTTTCTGGAGATGACTTCAAAAATGTCTCGACAATCTGGCAAATATACTTAAGTGATGTGAGGAGGCTGATCTCGTGTTGAATTGGGAAAAGTGTTAACTTCATGGTGACCGAAGGCACTGTTCTAGGCCATAAAATTTATGCAAAGGGCATTGAAGTGGACAAAGCCAAGATCAAGGTAATCGAGAAGCTACCCCGCCAACTTC